CGCATTTGTGATAACAATAGATGCAGCATCATGCCCTTTGAGAATATATTTATATAAATATTTAACAGACTTGATACTTGATAATGACTTGATTTTCGGGATATTGTCTTTCGGGTTTCTGGATTCGAGAAAATGACCGGGAATCTATCAAAATTATTCTGCTTGCACAATTACTATATAAAAATATAGACTCTTAGCTGTACAAAATAATTTTTCTGGTACTAAAAATGTGAGAATCAACAATTTTTATTATTAGGTAAAGTTCTGATTTCTTAAGCGCGGACAAGGGACACCACTGACATTTTGCTTCTAATTCTTCTGCCAAATTTTTTCAGAGAATTTCTAGCGACTAAGAATTATTAATTTAAGTAAAAGGAGTGATTAAGAAAGTGTTGATCGTTATATTTCTGCAGAAATTCCTGATGAAAATATAAATCTTATTTTACAAAAAATAATAATGCAAAATAATATTCACAGACCTTGTGGAGATTGGTGTTTAATTGATGGGAAATGTTCAGAATAATTTCAAAGAAGTTACAAAGAAGAAACTACAGTTGAAGGAAATTGCTATGTTCATTGTCCTCGAAGAAATAATAATAAAGCGTATGAACGACCAAATGGATTTAATGTTGATAATTCTAATGTTGTACTGTATTGCCCTAAACTTTCAGAAATATTTAATTGCCGTATTAATGTAGAAATGGCTAGAAAAAAAATCAAAATCGCCTGTCCGTAAGTTTCATATTTTTAAGTAATTATCGCAAATTTTGAATATCATGCCTGATATTTAAATAGCCTAGTGCAGATAATTGCCTTATTAAGCGTTAAAAGTATTGATGATATGTATAGCTTCTTAACGAAAAAACATTACAACATTCTATCACATTTATAACTTGTACGGTTGGTGGCAGAAAGCAAGTAACACTTTGTCGAGCACACCATGTCAGTGGTGTCCCCATCAAAAAATCGTTCATAATATTAATATTTTTTAAATATTAATGTTTCTCATTTTCAGTTATTACACGTACTTTAAAAACCGCAACGACTTTAACTTAAAAATAAAGTCTTTCTTTTTCGAAAATGAGAAATGAAGCCAAATGTCAGTGGTGTCCCCTCAAAATTCTGTTTCTTACAGCTTATTATTTTATTTTTAATAAATTTGTGTTAAATTTACTCCTTATATGCAGTTAATGAAGATTTGATACTGGATTGTAATTTATAAGCTGATTTTATTCTCACTATTCAAAAAAAATTATTAGTGAAATCTTTCAAAAATGTCAGTGGTGTCCCTCAATGTTCATATGTCTTTTTCGTCTTCAAAAGTATATTAATTTATGGCAGAACTCATTGCAAATATTTTTTAAGTCATTGAATTTTTAAGTCATGCATTATTGTAATTTGAAATATTTTAACTTTTTAAAGTTGTAAGAATTTATTTGAGAAAGGAATAAACGAAAACAGAAAATTTCTTATCATTTCTGCCTATCGTTTTTCACCTGGTGAAAATTAAAATTTGCTTCCACCTGCTCGACCACTATTATTTTTGTCCATCATATATTCTAGTCAACCAAAATAGAGTATCGTTAAGTTCAAAATCCAACATCGAAAAATCAAAGTTAGTAGGATCAAAAATGACATTTTAAATTTAATCACCAATATAATCAATTTACAATTTTTCCTTTTATCAAATTTAACCAATTTCCAGCTTTCTTTTTATCCAATATAACTAATTTTCAATTTTGCCTTTTATCCAATTTAATCAATTTCCATCTTTGTTTTTATCCAATATAACCACTTTCCAATTTTTCCTTTTATACAATTTAACCAATTTCCAGCTTTGTTTTTATCCAATATAACCAATTTTTAATTTTGCCTTTTATCCAATTACAGACGATTTCCAAATTATAACAAATTTTTAAATTTATTAATAAACATCAAAAAAAATTATAACAAATTTTTTAAATTTTTTAATTAACATTAAAAACTAAACACAACTCAATTAATTATTTAATGATTGAAAAAATTTAGAAAATAGTATCTTAATGTAATTCTATTATTATTTACTATTCACTTATTATCACTAGTTATAATCACTAGTGAATAAAAGGATAAAAGGCAAAATTGTAAATTAGTTATATTGGATAAAAAGAAAGCTGGAAATTGGTTAAATTTAATAAAAGGAAAAATTGTAAATTGGTTATATATTGAATAAGAGATTAAATTGGAAATTAGTTAAATTGGATGAAAGACAAAATTGGACATTGATTATATTGGATAGAAGGAAAAATTTTTGAATTTTTAATAAGGAGAGAATTGTCAACTTGTTCATATTTTCTATAAGAGGCAAAATTTGGTAACATTGGGTAAAAGGAAATTATAAAATTTATAATTAAATGTATGAAACTTAATGTTAAAATTTTAATGTAATATTACTATTTTTGAAATTTTAATTCCTCAATATAAGTAAATTTTATAAAATAAAAGAACAATCTCTAACAAAGGAGAAACTGTTAATTTGACTACTTATGACACAAACACAAACACTTGATTTGATAGTTCCAATCGAGAAAAGTAAGCAGCACATTCAAATACTTTTTAGTGGATCTTATAAATCAGGATTTTTACAACTGTTGATCAACAACCAGAATACAGTTTTTCTTGTGGAGTATATGCAATAGCAATCGCAACATCGTTGTTTTTTAATATTATGCCCCACTCTGTTAATTACTATTATTGTAATATAAGAAATCATTTAATGTTAATGTTCGAAAACAGTAGTTTATGTAAATTTCCCTCGGTACAACTTTCTAATAGTAGATTTTGCAGAGTTAGGTATGACTGGAGAATCAAACTTTTCGAAAAACTCTATTAAGAAAGACATTTCTTTCCCGAGAATAATAAATAAAATAAATGAAGGAAATATTGCATCAACAACACTTAAGGTATTTCTTCCTGTTCTTCTCACGGAGAACATAACCTTCATTTTTATTTGTTTAATTTCAAGAATTTTATTAAAATTAAAATGTAAATGAAAACCCAAAAAATAATAGATTTGTTTCAGTAAAAGTAGCAGGAAAAAATGAAAAATTATATTCCGAGTTTCGTTTTCGAGATATAACTATGTAGTACCGCTAGTTCACGCACGTTACCGCCACGATCTTCAGCTAAAAAATAAAGAATGGTTCGGTCCAAGGCTTCCGTGTTCCTTGTCTCGTTAGCCGCCATAACGTTTTTTCGTGCAAGTTACGCCACATCAATAGTTGTTTAGCTGCAGTAAAAAAGTGATATAATTTAATTAAAAAATGGGAAAAACATCACGAAAAAGGAAACATAGGTCTAGATCGCCTTCACAGCATCGTTCGAGTGAGATGGAAGACCTGAAAAAGGAAGTTAAACGTCTAAAACAAGAAATGCGTCGAAATTTCTACGCACCGCCAGAGAGACGGTATACTTCAGAAGATCGATTTGATCAGGAACAAATCGGCAGGCGTTATTACGAGGACGATCAGTATTGGCAAGAAAGATCTCGTAAGTATAAACAACAATAGGGCGGTAGGCTCATTTATAGTGATGAGATAAACCGTGCCAAAAATGGCGGTGGGACCTCACAAGGGGAGGTACATACCGTGCATACACAGCGCCAGAATCACATCTGTGTGAATTTGTGCGTGTGATAAATCGGTCAAACAGAAACCGACTTAACCTATAGCAGCTTTAAAGATATTCTTTCTTTTGATCTTTACAGGTTCAGATTCTTCTACAGAGAGGTCTCGCTCATCGCCTGTCAGAAGTTTAGGTTATGATTCAGATAAACCCGAAGAAAATAAAGACGATAAAAAACCAGAAGACGATCCCCTCGACAACGAAACGTTAGAACTTCTTGGAGAAAAAGCAGGCTCAGCAGAAAATAACGATTTGTTTTTGCATTCGGAAATTGGCGATCGCTTGGAAATTTGGTCAAGAGAAGGTTTGAAAAAAGAAGATAAACAATCGCTGCTAAAGAATTATGCGCGCAAGGGTAATTATCATTTCGAGGCGCCAGAGATGAATGCGGAAGTAGAAGCTTCCATTAACGACTCAGTTAAGAAAAGAGACAAGTTTTTTGCTGCCGACCAACATATTCTAGGATCAGCTATATCCGCTTTGGGTAATGGTGTATCTGTGTTACTACGTAATAAAAGTGACGAAGCCCAGAGATCAGAAGCCCTTAAATGTTTTCTTGACGCAGGTAAATTATTATCAGAATCGTTTCATCGAATGTCGAAAACTAGGAAGACATTTGTGTATCCAAGTCTAGAGAAAAAAGCCAAAGAACTTTTAGAGAAAGAAAAAACCGACACATTCTTGTTCGGAAAGGACCTTTCATTACGCATAAAATCGGCCAAATCCATGGAAAAAGTTGGGTTGACGTTAAAACCACAACAACAAACAAAGAAATTTCCGGCGAAACCCTCGACTACGGGAAACTGGAGAGCACCGCCTGCTCGAAATCGACCGTTCTTTCAGGCGGGATACAAATCAAGAAACAACCAACGAGAACCGTACCACGGCAGGTACCAGAAGGAGAGAAGTCAGAATCCAGGCTATCGTCAGTTCAATCGTCAACCCAATCGTCAGGAACAGGACAATCGTCAACAGCCAGCGCAGAAATAATTGCGGTAGGTCGATTTGCAGGAAGACTAAAAAAATTTTTAAGCGCCTGGATCCAAATTACAAATGATAGAGTAGTTTTAAATTTTATAAAGGGTTATGAGATACCCTTCGATAATGTTCCAATTCAGGACAGTATACCTCACGAACCCGTGGTAAGTGGTATAGAAGAGATAAAATACTGCGATGCTATTAGTCGACTGGAAGATATAGGTGCCATCAAAAAATGTTCTCCATGTGCTGGTCAGTTTTTATCAAGTTATTTCTTAGTAGATAGATCTAACGGATCTACAAGGTTTGTTTTAAATTTAAAAAAACTAAACAAATTTATTACTACTGACCACTTTAAAATGGAGGACATTAGAACGGCAATAAAATTACTTTCAGAAGACTCGTTCATGGCGAGTATAGATCTTCGAGATGCTTTTAATTTAATATCAATTCAGGTTAGCAATAGAAAATTCTTAAGATTTTCCTGGAAGGGCCAATTATTTGAATTCACTTGTCTTCCGTTCGGGTTGTGTACTGCCCCATGGGTGTTTACGAAATTACTTAAACCGGTCGCAAATTTACTAAGAGAATCAGGCCTCATGTCAGTGGTTTACTTAGACGATTGGCTCTGCTTAGGCAAAACTTACAATTCATGTCAAATCAACGTTCAAAAGACTATTGAGATTCTCGTTAATTTAGGTTTCGTCATTAACTACGAAAAAAGTGATCTCACCCCTGGTAAAAAATGTCAATATTTAGGTTTCATTTTGGATTCATCAAAAATGACAATTGAACTTCCCGAAAAGAAAAAAGAAAAAATACTCGCAAAAATTAAAGAAATTAAAAATAAAGCAAGTTGTCGTATCAGGGATTTTGCGCAATTAGTTGGATCTCTAACTGCTGCATGTCCAGCAGTAGAGTACGGTTGGTTGCATACAAAGTCGTTTGAACGTCATAGATATCTGGGTTTGTTGAGAAGTCAGGGTAACTATGATCAAAAATTCGAAATAAGTAGTGCGTTGATTACAGAGTTTGACTGGTGGTTAAATACCATTCCTAAAACATCGAACCCTATCAGATCTGGAAATTACAAATTCGAAATTTTTTCAGACGCCTCAGGATCAGGTTGGGGAGCGTTTTGTAAAAACGAACTTACTCATGGGTTTTGGACAGATCTAGAAAGAAAAGAGCATATTAACTACTTAGAGTTGTTAGCGGCCTATCTCGGCCTTAAATGTTTCGCGAAAAACCTAAGAGATTGCGAGATACTGTTGAGAATTGACAACACAACAGCTATCTCTTATATAAACCGAATGGGCGGAGTCCAATTCCCAAAGCTTAACGAAATAACGCGAAAAATTTGGTCTTGGTGCGCACAGCGAAAATTATGGCTGTTTGCGTCATATATCGCGTCGAAAGATAACATCGAGGCCGATCGGGGTTCGCGTATTAGAAACATCGATACAGAATGGGAATTATCAGACATAGCTTATTCGCAGGTAGTTAAATCTTTCGGAGCTCCAAATCTAGACCTTTTCGCATCAAGATGTAATGCCAAGTGTGAAAAATACTGCTCATGGCATCGAGACCCTGAAGCATTCGTGGTAGATGCATTTACATTAAACTGGAAAGATTTCTATTTCTATGCGTTTCCTCCATTCTCGATGATTCTCAAAGTAGTGCGAAAAATTATAGCGGACCAGGCGCAAGGAATTTTAGTATTTCCAAAATGGTTTTCACAACCGTGGTACCCATTGCTGGTGCCCCTATTTATTGAACCACCAATATTATTTCAACCGTCAAATGATTTGTTATTGTCTCCATGCAGGTCTCTTCAACATCCGCTGTCCAGGTCTCTAACACTGATGGTAGCGAAAGTATCAGGGAAGCCTTTCGAAGGAAAAACATTCCGGCACAGACAATAAATATCTTGATAGCATCGTTAGCAGAATCTACCATCAAACAATATTCTGTGGCCATCAAGCAATGGTTGTCATTTTGTATTAAGAACGGAATAAATGCTTACGAAGCAAGTGAAAATCAGGCATTGGAATGGTTGACGGAACGTTTTCACGATGGGGCATCCTATGGTAGTCTCAACAACTGCCGAGCAATATTAGGGTTGTTAATCGGTGAAAACGTTTCACAAGGGACAACTGTGTCACGGTTCTTTCGCGGAGTCTTTCGAATGAGACCTACTAAACCTCGTTATGAAGAAACCTGGGACGTTTCCCCAGTTTTAAAAACAATTGCCGAATTGTATCCATTAAATTCACTATCATTACCTCAACTTACTTCTCGTTTAACCATTCTATTAGCATTGGCAACCGCACATAGGATGCAAACATTAGCACTAATAAAATTAGAAAATATAACCGAAAACGAGAACGGTTTCTCGATAAGAATCGATAGTTTAATAAAAACGTCGCGTCCTGGAGTACGACAACCACTTCTTTTGCTACCAAGGTTTTCAGAAAAACCTAAATTATGCGTCGCAAGCACACTGGAAGCATATCTTGAAAAAACGAAGCATCTTCGAGGCAACATCGCTAATCTACTACTAACCACTAGGAATCCTTACAAACCAGCTAATCCACAAACCATTTCGAGATGGATTAGAGCCTTCTTAGTAAATAGTGGTATTAACAGTAAATTTAAAGCCTACAGTACGAGACATGCTTCGACCTCGGCCGCGCTTAAAAAAGGCGTCGATTTAAGCATTATAAAAAGCACAGCAGGTTGGTCGAAAGAATCCCTAACTTTTGCCAAATTTTATAATAGGCCAATTGTCGAAACAGAAAACAATTTTGCAGAAGCAGTTTTATTGTCTTAGTAAACAAATGTAGTATTTCTTTTTCATTATACTAATTAACATTAATAATTAAAATATTAATCTGTCTATTTCTATATCGTTCGAGAAAAGCATATTATCTTTGTATTTACAACTTGTGTAAATAAACAAATTTATAAACAAAAATAAACATATAACTCTTAACATCTACATAGTTATATCTCGAAAACGAAACTCGGAATATAATTGATCGATTAAACGAACTTACCTGTTGTGAAGTTCAATCGCAATTATATGAAGAGTTTCGTTGAGAGATAATCCCACCCGTAAATTATTGCTAATACTATAACAAATAATACTTACCCACCCAAATTTAAGCATTGTTAAAATTAAACTTTAAACTATATATAGCGGCTAACGAGACAAGGAACACGGAAGCCTTGGACCGAACCATTCTTTATTTTTTAGCTGAAGATCGTGGCGGTAACGTGCGTGAACTAGCGGTACTACATAGTTATATCTCTCAACGAAACTCTTCATATAATTGCGATTGAACTTCACAACAGGTAAGTTCGTTTAATCGATCAATTCACCTCGACTGTGGAAAATGGCTGGACGTATCGTGATCGACATCTCATTTAAAAAGAAAAAAATATTTTCAGTCGGGATTTTTTGGAAAATATAGAAAAATATTATTGACACGCGCACGCGCTGCTCTCGGAAATTTTGCGAAATTTTTATAAATAATTATTGAAAAAAATGTTTAAACATTAAAAAAGGGGTTATGAACGGTTTGGTATTGACTTCTCATTTTGAGAGAATCAAATATTTTGGGTTCATATTTGGAGGGATGATAGATCCTGGAATTTCACTCACTGAGACGCGTCTCTCTCCGTTTTTGCAATAATTTTGCGAGGAAATTATGTCAGTGGAGTAATTTGAGATTGAGAATTAAATTTCGTTAGTTCAAGTCGCGACCACTTCCGAGAATTGACGCCACCTCCTTGACCACTGACACATAGATCCACTTGTCTGTGTGCTCACCGTCATATTGTCTCACTTTCGCCAAAATTAAAACTTTTTAACTTTCTTTTTCAATATATTTTTCAAAAATTACCTGCAAATTTCGAGAATATTCTTTATCAGAACGCTTCCCCCTAATTATCCTGATAAATCCTATAACGAGATATCAGAAAATAACGCGTTTAAAGATTTGATAATAAAATATTATTTTCCATATTATTATTATTATTAATAATTATAATATAAATTATTTCAATTTGTAGTAATAATTTATAATTATTATCAAATTATCGTAATTAATATTATTATTATCACTTATTAATTTTGTTATTACAACAAGAAATTCAAAAGAGCAATAATAAAAACAGTAACAAAATTTGATAACTAAAAAAGTTTCAATAAAATAAATAAATATATAAATATGTTTGAAAAAAGAAAAGTTTTTTTTAATTGAATCTGAAAAAGTAATTGAAACGAATGTTAGTTTCGCGCCTTTTTACAAGTGCTTTAAACGCAACAGTGTTGCCAAGTCGCGACCGCATGCTTTCCTTGCACCAGTAAATTCAATGGAAAATCACTTGAGTTTCGACTATCAAAATACAATAATTAAAAAATGAGCATCGTTACCTACACTGAAATTTGTTTAATATTATTTCTTTTATTTATCCCTACAACATACTAGTTTTTGAGAAATATTTATCGAGTAGTTTTCTAGATATTAATAAAAATGTGTCACTTTTCTAAGTTCAGCATATGATTCCTATGTTAAATGTTAAAACTTTGAAGCAAAATATCTCAAGTTTTAGCATCGCAAGGAGTATTGAGTTTTTTTATCACACATAAAGCATATAAAAAGGAGCATTTTCCCAGAGTTTCAAAAAATTCTATCGAAAATCGATTTGCCGGAGAAATACCTTAAACATAGTAGGGCTGAAATTCAAAAAAGTTATCGTGAGCGGCAAAAATTAAAACGTAAAATTGATCATGCAAATTATTCAGAGGAAGCACACACTTCCATTTCTTTACCGAGAATAGTAAATAAAATAAATGAAGGGAATACTGCATCAACAACAGTTAAACAAAGTAGGGCTGAAATTCAAAAAAAATCGGGCAAGTGCGAGTTGCACTCGCATTAAGATCGAGGGTTCCGTACACCAAAATAAAACTCATTTTTTATAAAAAAAATATATATAAGAAATATAATTCATTAATATTAACATATATAAACCTATTGAGCTGAAAGTCGGTACACATATGTATTTTTATTACATATAGATTAAAAAAAAACTATAACTATAATCCACATTAATATTAACATATATAAACATATTGAGCTGAAATTCGGTACACATATGTATTTTTATTACATATAGATTAAAAAAACTATAACTATAATCCACATTGAATTCTTATGTTTTATTTACAAATAACAAAAAAAAATATTTTTTTACCTTAATCTTCACTTAAAAATGAAGATCCCTACCGAATTTCAGCTCATCAAATTAAGATTCCTAAAAGTTCAAAAGGGGGAGAGAAAAGTATCATTTTTTGCAATTTTTTCGTAAAAATTAAATTTCTTTCCCTCCTAGTTCGCAAATATGTCCGTCAATCGAGTTCGCTATATTTTTCCTGTAATCTGCAATTTAAACTGAACATCCCTACCGAATTTCAGCTAATCAAATTAAGATTTGTAAAAGTTAAAGGTGGAGGACAGGGTAATTTTTTCAATTTTTTCAAAAAAATTCAATTTCTTTCCTTCCTAGTTCGCAAATATGTCCGTCAATCGAGTTCGCTATATTTTTCATGTAATCTGCATCTGAAACTGAAGATCTCTACCGAATTTCAGCTCACTAGGTTGAGATTTGTAAAAGTTAACCGCAGGAACAGGGTCATTTTTTGTAATTTTTTCAAAAAAATTGAATTTCTTTCCCTCCTAGTTCGCAAATATGTCCGTCAATCGAGATCGCTATATTTTTCCTGTAATCTACACTTGAAACTTAAGATCCCTACCGAATTTTAGCTCATAATGTTGAGATTTGTAAAAGTTAAGGGGGAGGACAGGGTCATTTTTAGCATTTTTCTCGAGAAAATTGAATTTCTTTCCCTCCTATTTTGCAAATATGTTTGTCAATCGGGTTCGCTATATTTTTCCTGTAATCTACACTTGAAACTTAAGATCCCTACCGAATTTTAGCTCATAATGTTGAGATTTGTAAAAGTTAAGGGGGAGGACAGGGTCATTTTTAGCATTTTTTTCGAGAAAATTGAATTTCTTTCCCTCCTATTTTGCAAATATGTTTGTCAATCGGGTTCGCTATATTTTTCCTGTAATCTACACTTAAAACTGAAGATCCCTACCGAAATTCAACTCACCAGGTTGAGATTTGTAAAAGTTAAGGGGGGGGGGGGACAGGGTCATTTTTTGCAATTTTTTCAAAAAAATTCAATTTCTTTCCCTTCTAGTTCCCAAATATCTCCACCAATCAGGTTCGCTATATTTTTCCTGTAATCTACACTTAAAACTGAAGATCCCTACCGAATTTCAGCTCACTAGGTTGAGATTTGTAAAAGTTAAGGGGGGACAGGGTCATTTTTAGCATTTTTTTCGAAAAATAGAATTTCTTTCCCTCCTATTTTGCAAATATGTTTGTCAATCGGGTTCGCTATATTTTTCCTGTAATATACACTTAAAACTGAAGATCCCTACCGAATTTCAACTCACCAGGTTGAGATTTGTAGAAGTTAAGGGGGGGGACAGGGTCATTTTTTGCAATTTTTTCAAAAAAATTCAATTTCTTTCCCTTCTAGTTCCCAAATATCTCCACCAATCAGGTTCGCTATATTTTTCCTGTAATCTGCACTTAAAACTGAAAATTCCTACCGAATTTCAGCTCACTAGGTTGAGATTTGTAAAAGTTAAGGGGGGGGATAGCCCATTTTGCGTAGCTGGGACGGACACACGAGTGATTTCATAAGGGTTCCGTCAGTACACCTATGGTGTACGGAACCCTAAAAATTGGACAAGTGCGAGTTGTACTCGCACTGCAATGGCGGGTTCCGTACACAAATATTAAAACAATACTTGCAACATTTATCGGTAATTGGTAGAATCAAAATAAACAATTAAAAAAATATATTAAAATCATTTGATAAAAACAATAACTAAAAAAATTAAAGTATTGTATATATCTAATATTGTAAACAATAATAAGCAGAGGGACAAAATTTTCAAAATTATACCCTCTGACCAAAAGGATATCCAAGGGATATCCTAGAGATATCTCGCGGGATATTGAGATATCCCTGGGATATTTGTGACATCTCAGAAATATCCCTGGGATATCCAAATTTCCATCCCATGGGAGACTCGCGCGGGATATCCAAATATTCTCCACACGGGATATGCTACGTAAGAAATAGTAATATGTTGAAAAATAATTAGAGCTTTAAAGAGTTGAAAAACCATTATTAAATTATAACTAGAATGAGAAAAAAATTATTTAAAAAAAAAAAGATTATTTAACTAATATCAAAGTTATTTGTTTGTGATTTAATAAACATTAGTTGAATTCAATAAAATGTCTTTTTAACGCTAAACATTTATTGTGTGTTAGTTTAAACTAATTTTGGTCAATTCATTTTGTCTATTACTGATTAATATTTATTGGTTAAAGATATTTACAAGAAACTAAAAAAATGTGAAAGTTAAACATATTAAACAGCAATACTTTTAATCACACACTGCAAAACACACGCTTCTGATCTAATGACGCGACGCCATGGTCGCCATGACACTCAACAGCTGGGAAGGTCGACGCCTGCGCGTGTAAGATTATATGAGTACATACATATAAAATTTTATTTATTTCTTGTTTAAAGGAAAAAATATACTGGATTTTCAGTAATTAATCTAGTAATTCATGCATTATTTGTTTAGAATGTAGTTAGAATAAATATTTGAATAATTTAATATATTATCTACCAAAAAAAAGTAACTGAAAAATCGTACACTTTAAGCTGAGTTTATAAATATATTTATTTTCCACTTTCGTTAATTTCATGCAACAAATATATAAACAAACTTTTTCTAATTTAAATGCGTTAAATATAATTTCACAGCTCTTTGACACACACTCTTTGACACTTGGAACGATTGCATTTCGTTTCCTGCGCATGCGCTGACATATCCCACACGGGATGACCCACGAAAGAAAACTTTGCATATCCCGTGGATATCCCAGGGACCTCCTAGGGATATCCAGTGGATGTCCTTGAGATATCCAAATTTCCGTCCCGTGAGATATCTCATGAGATATCCTAGGGATATCACGGGATGGAAATGGGATAATCGCGGGATATCCCGTGCTGTGAGGGTAGTTCCTCTGCTTATTATTGTTTACAATATTAGATATACAATACTTTAATTTTTTTTAGTTATTTTTTTTATCAAATGATTTTAATATATTTTTTTAATTGTTTATTTTAATTCTACCAATTACCGATAAATGTTGCAAGTATTATTTTAATATTTGTGTACGGAACCCGCCATTGCAGTGCGAGTACAACTCGCACTTGTCCAATTTTTTTTTATTTTTAGTTAAGAAATTTAAGTCAGAAAACAATCTCTCATTTATTCTCTTAAAATTTCACTCTACCTTAAAATATTTAATGCCACGTGTTTAAACTAAAAAAAATTTAAAAAAATTTTTTTTTTTATTTTTTTTCAAAAAGTTTTTTAAATTAATTTTTTGTCGTCAGACTGTAATAATACACTAGGATCTTAATTTTCAGCTCATAAGGTCAAATAATGTAAAAGTTAGAAAAAATTTTTTTTTTTTAATTTTTTAGTTTTTCCTTGACAACGCTATGGCCATCATTACATATCAAGTTCTCTATATTTTTCCTGTAATATTCGAGTAAAAATACACCAGCATGCAAAATTTCAGCTCTCCATGTCGAATAGTTTAGAAGTTAAGGGGGGGGAATGGTCACTTTTTATGCATTTTTGGCCAAAAATCTTGTTATTTCCTTGACAACGCTATGCCCATCACGTCCAATCACATTCGCTATATTTTTCCTGTAATCTACGAGTGAAAATACATATCTGAACCAAATTTGAGCTCTTTAGGTCAAATAGTTTAGCCGCTAGGGGGGGACACGATTTGGCTACGGACACAAGAGTCTCACCAATAGGGTTCCGCCGTCACACCGTAGGTGTACGGAACCCTAAAAATTATCGTGAGAGGCAAAAATTAAAATGGAAAATTGATAGTGCAAATTATTTAGAAGAAGCACACACTTCCATTTCTTTTCCGAGAGAAATAAATAAAATAAATGAAAGAAATATTGCATCAACAACACTTAAACAAAGCAGGGCTGAAATTCAAAAAAATTATCGTAAGAGGCAAAAATTAAAACGTAAAATTGATAATGAAAATTATTCAGAGGCAGCATACACATCCATTTCTTTCCCGAGAATAATAAATGAAATAAATGAAGGAAATATTGCAAAACTAATCGTACAATTTTCAAAGTTTTAATGAAGTTGCTGCAATTTTTATTACAAACTCTGAAGAAGAAATACCAGAATCTTATGTAACGGTTTATAATAAATCTACAAAGGAATTGAAATTGGTTAGTAATTTAGATCCGAATGTTGAACCATGGATTTATCCCATTTTTTATCCACTTGGAAATAAGGGTTATAATATTAATATGATTCGTAGTAATAGTGATTACAGAAGTAGAAATCATACTATTTCTAGGTCTGCCTACATTAAATACAAAATTGCTGTAAGAAATAAAGCATTTAATCAATTTTGATATGATGGTAGATTGTTTCAACAGTGGGTGATTGACAATTATGTAAAAATGGGAAAAGCTAGATTAAGATTTTGTGCAAATAATCAAGCTCAATTGAGAAGTGAAACATATTAAGGACTGATGGATTATTTACACAATCATGAGTTGGAAAATGATGTACACGTGGGAAAAACGCTTATATTGCCTTCTACTTTTATAGGATCACCTCGCAATATGATGCAACAATGTCAGGATTCGATGGCTATTCTTGCTCGTCATAGTAGACCAGATTTATTTATCACAATGTCGTGTAATCAAAATTGGAAAGAGATACATGAAAATTTATGCCCCTATCAAACTGCTGCTGATAGAGCTGATATAGTAACTAGGGTTTTCGCATTAAAAGTTAAACATCTACTTAAACTTATTGTTGATAATAAATTATTTGGAGAAGTCAAATCTTATGTTTATGTTATTGAATTTCAAAAGCGAGGATTGCCACAAATTCATTTGTTAGTTATATTGAAAGAAAGTTCTAAAATATTAACAGTTGAAAGGGTTGATCGTTATATTTCTGCAGAAATTCCTGATGAAAATATAAATCCTATTTTACAAAAAATAATAATGCAAAATAATATTCACAGACCTTGTGGAGATTGGTGTTTAATTGATGGGAAATGTTCAGAATAATTTCAAAGAAGTTACCAAGAAGAAAATACAGTTGAAGGAAATTGCTATGTTCATTGTCCTCGAAGAAATAATAATAAAGCGTATGAACGACCAAATGGATTTAATGTTGATAATTCTAATGTTGTACTGTATTGCCCTAAACTTTCAGAAATATTTAATTGCCATATTAATGTAGAAATGGTTTAGAGTATCAAGTCTGTTAAATATTTATATGAATATATTCTCAAAGGGCATGATGCTGCATCTATTGTTATCACAAATGCGAATGGTGAGGTAACTGGTAATCATAATGAAATACATCATTATGAAGAAAATAGATATGTTGGTCCAGTTGAGGCAGTTTGGAGAATTCTAAGTAAACCTTTAGGGAAAAAGAGTCATAGCGTTAATCGCTTACCCATACATTTGCCAAATGAACAGAATGTTATTATTCGAGAAGAAAAAGATAGTACCGGCATTTCTTTCGATTTAAATGAAAATACAAAACTTCTGGATTTTTTCAAACTTAACCAACGAGATAGTAATGCTGAAAAGTATTATTATTCAGAAATACCAGAGCAATATACATGGGTAACAAAATCTTTTGAATGGAAACAAAGAATTGGTAAAGAAAAAGTATTAGGAAGAATGTATTCAGTTAATCTACATGAATTGGAGTTATTTCACCTTAAATTATTGTTGCTCACAGTAAAAGGAGCATTTTCTTTTGAAAGTTTAAGAACAGTTAATGGAGTTGTTCATAAATCTTTTACAACTGCTTGTTTGGCATTAGGACTTGTAGAAGATGATAGTGAGTAGATTAGGACAATGGAAGAAGCTGCAGTATGAATGATGCCTCATTCACTTCGCCAATTATTCACAATAATTTTAATTCATTGTCATCCTGTACATCCGGATAAACTATGGGAACAATTTAAGCGTCAAATGTCAGAAGATTATTAAAAAATTAACGACATTGAAGCTGAACAAAGGGCTTATAGAAATATTAAAACAATGTTATTTAACAAAGAGTATAATTTAACTGACTTTCAGGGATTATTAGATATATAAAAGATGTAATTTTTACTGAACAAGTTAATGGTATAAATATTGCAGAACTTATTTACATAGGAGAACAAAATTATGCGACATTAAATGTAAAATAAAAACTTGTAGTTGATTATGTACTTGATGCCCTAAAGGATTCTTCTATTGATGGTTCTAAGTGCTTATATGTTGATGGTTGTGGAGGATCTTGAAAAACATTTTTATACATTACGCCATGGCATTTATTAAAAAGTAAAGGAATAAATGTTTGCAACATGGCATTTACAGGTATAGCTGCGACTCTGCTTCCTAATGGAAAAACTGTTCATAAAGTTTTAGGTTTACCCGTTCCATTATACAGTGATTTATCTTCAAACATTAAAGTTAAATCTAAAGAAGGCCTTTTTCAAAAAATATAGATGTTAATATTTGGGATAAAGCACCAATGGCTTCAAAATATGCTTTAGAAATTATGGATTATCTATTAAGGGATATAATGAATTCCAACGAACCTTTTGGTGGTAAAATTGCAATTCTAGGCGGCGATTTTCGGCAAATTTTACCAATTAAAGAACAAGGGGCCTAGATCAGAAATAGTAAACTTATCAATAAAAATATTAAACTATGGAAATATTTTAAAACATACACATTAACAGATAATATAAGAGCTTTACCACAAGAAACGGAATTTGTAGATTTTTTACTTAAAGTTGGCAATGGTGAATTAAATGATGCAGATGATGATGTTATATTACTAAAACATATTATTCAAAAAGGGAATAGGTACACTACCGTCCACGAGTATCAGGACGATTACATTTGACTCTATGAAAAAACATGCCATCACTTTTTCAATCATATCTCGTAAATAAAAGGATATACAAAAAAAACTTAAATACGGTTGAAAAGCTGATTAAGTTTTGCGTAAAATAAGCCGTCTTTGAAGTCATTTCATTAACTATTTTTTGAGTTGTAGAGTGAGAAAGAAATACAAAAAAATTATTAAATTTTCTTATTTTTGGCTCTTTACTTCAACTTTTTCAAAAATCTAGAAAAATTTAGATAACATTTTTCTGAAAACTAAGAAATCTTCGTTAGAATTTCAGTTTTAAAATATGCCTTTCAAAATTAAAAATGGTTATTCTGTCTTCTATATGTATATAGGCAGTGGAATCGTAGTGGAAGGTGGAGGGGCTGAATTTCTAACCAACAAGTGTAAACAAACAGCAAGCTCAAATTATGCTAATGTTCATTTGAAAATAATTCAAAATTGTGTAAGTAAATATTATTTTTAACGTTTGTAAGTAAAAAAGAGACTCAAAATCTATAGAGTGATATTAATTACTCGAAATTAATTTTTTGGGAGCTAAGGCATGTTTTCTCGTAGAGCGTCACATATATCATTAAAAATGTCAAGCCGTGTTTCGACCATCGGTGCATTGGAATTTAACTGTGACGACTCGATTCTAGCATCGCGTGGCTGCGAATGGGAGAGAAAACAGGAACGGATTTATGCTGGGAAATAATAAATTATGATGTTTCACGAGTAATATAAAGAAACTCGAAAGTTCATCGTTCCCCCACATGAATTCGTCTCTGCTTTCTCTCTCATTCGCTGCTACGCGAAGCCAGAGTCGATTCGTCACAGTTGAATTTCAATGCACCAATCGGTCGAAACACGGCTTCACATTTTTAATGATATATCGCAGACGGATTAACCTTTTTTAATTTTAAACAGGGGAAGTGCGCCGGTTGTGGGCACCCCTACGTAAACTTCGACGGCAAGCAGACTTTACTGATCTAAGTATTGCAAGTCGTGTTCGTTGACAATACGGACTTTTCGTATTGATAACGAAACAAATATATGCATTTGTGTAATAGCTGTAAGCATAATAAAGAAAATTTGCATTAAATAAATAAAAAAGTAATTTTGTATTGTTTTCGAAGAGCAACATATGGGTGTAGATTCGTTCAGAAACGAAGGGGTTTTTTTTCGCAGTGTTGTCATTATATTTTGTGATTTACCTTCGTGTTTAACCAAAATCCTGCATCACAAAATTTGTTGGTCTTTTTAAAAAATGACTGTCATTCCCGGTTGTGGGCACCTTTATGTTAAGGAGGCTCTACCATCTGACAATGATGAGGACTACTGTCTCATCTATCTAAACTTTCTGCTAAGGAAAGTGACAGCCGCAAACTCCATTAAATGCGATAAATATAGTCGTTCAGTGCATTAGAAGTGCGTTATGGTATGCGTACTAGCTACTTCACATGCAAGCATTATGCTTTTGTTAGCGATGAGCATAGTGTGAAAACGTGTCATCATTGTTGTTCTTTATCCCGGCAAATTCTCTTAAAATAAAGAAACTTTCATTTCATCTTTATTTTTGTTGGTTTCCTTTAACCCATTTAGTCCCAAATGTCCGTTTTTTAGTACAAGTTTGAGCTTCCCGTTCTACGAGTTCCGGGTTTGAAAAAAATCGGGACAAAGGTTTTCTTATGGATTTGAGTGTCCTCTTTCAGAATCTGAAAAAAAATTTCGATTTCGACTTAATGATAAAAAGTTATAATTGTTTAAACAAAAAAATAGCCGTTTTTTTAGTGTTTTTTTTTTCTTTAAAAGCAGATTATTTAATTGAAATCGGCTTGGGAAAAATCGGGGACATCAAAATATCGCGTCCAAAATGTTGGGACTATCAAATAGTCATATTGCCAAAAACAATTTTTTTCAAATTTCAAAATGGCGCCTCAAAAATGGCCGCCAAAATATGAAAATTTGGAAAAATAATTAAAAAAAATTTTTACACTACATTTTTTTTACTTTTATGCTTCATTCAAATAAAATAATGCTGCTTCAACAAAAAATATTGTTATTTGATGTTATTTAACAATATTATAAACAATTTTTATAAACAATTTGAAAACTATGGGCCAAAGTGGAAGCAAAAAATTTATTTTCATCAATTCTCTTTTTGGGGGAGGTAAAAATGGATATTGAAAGTAAAAAACTTAATTCAAAATTATTTTGCAATGTTTAAGAATGTTATAAACAATTTTTATAAACAATTTTGCAAAACATGAAATAGAATGGTAGAAAAAAATTATTTTTTTTTTTTATTATGCTCTGGTAATCAAAATGTTGCTTAAGGTTTAAACTTTAATTTAACATTATTTAGCAATATTTAGAAATGTTATAAACAATTTTTATAAACAATTTTCATAGAAAAAGAAGTTTAGAGTGAAAAGAAATTTTTTTTTCACTATTTACTTGGGTTATCATTAGAATAGATATTTAAAAAACAAATCTTTGTCTGTAATTATTTAAGATTTTTTTACAATGTTATAAACAATTTTTATAAAAAAAAATGTTCAGAGTGGAAAAAATCTTTTTTTCTTCACTACTAACTTTCTTTTGTCATTAAAAGTGGAAACTGAAGTATCTACCGTTTATAAAAAATTTGTAAACAATATATAAAAATGCTGTAAACAATTCTTATAAACAATTTGCTAAATATGAAGTACCATCGTGGAAAAAAAGCATTTTTTTATTATTAAATACCTTCTTGTAATCAAATTCTTTGTTATAGATATAAACTTTCATTTAACATTATTTAGCACTTTTTAAAAATGTTATAAACAATTTTTATAAACAATTTTCATAGAAAAATCAGTTCAGGGTGGGAAAAAAATTTTGATTTTCTTTATTTGTTTGTTTGTCATTAGAATAGATATGTTAAAGATAAACCTTTGTCTGAAATTATTTAAAAAAATTTATTAATGTTATAAACAATTTTTAAAAACAAATTTTTATAAAAAAAGTTATTTAGAGATGAAACAAATTTTTTCTTTACCACTAACTTATTCTAACATTAAAATGGAAACTGATGTTTCAACCGTTTATCCAAAATTTATAAACAATTTTTAAAAATTATATTTTTCATAAATGTTTTAAACATTTTTTTATAAATAAATTGAAAAGAAGAAGTTCTTTAGTGGTTTAAAATATCTCTTTTGCAAGACATTCACTACTTAAAGGTGTACGTTTTTAGAATTATCACTTTTTGTTTGTTACGTTCGATTTTAATTATTTTTTTAGTTTATCTTTGATCGATTTTTCCCTCTTTTTTGAAAATATGTATGACAGAAGGATACAGCCTCATTTTTAGTGCTTTTATGGAAATTTATGGGAACTATGGTTTGTGCGCATGTGTGAAATCTCTTACTACACATGAGCAGTTAGCAGGGTTCCCATCACTATACTGATCCCACCACTGCACAGTTCCATACTGACTTACTCTTAACATTTCTACTTTTTATGTCTTAGCGTTTTCGATAGTCTTGAATTTTTTTAAGTTAATTATTTTCTATACTGTTAGGTAACATTGGATTTGTTGTTATTTTTTTTTCATATTATTATATTACACTTCTGCATGTTATAGTATTTGAGATAAGTATTAATTTGAATTATTTATTTAAAATGCCGAAAAGAAAAAGGTCAACTGGGACGTCGTTACACTCTGACTTGGAAGTTATTGAAAATGATAGTTATACTGATGTTTTGATCAATTTAGATCAATTAGAAGAGAGTGAGTCAGATTGCAACTCTAATGAAAGTGATAGTTCTGGGTACGATACTGATGAAGATTCGATTAATACGATAGATTTTCCTACAACTTTTGCCAAAATTTCCGAAAATTATACATCTAATCAAAAAAAGTTAGAGCCTAATCATCAGTATGTATGGGTAAATAATGAAAAAAAAATCCTCTTTTGAGCCTGAAAATGTCTGCTTACTTACTGAAAGGCAAAAAGAAAAAATTCGAAACAGTTCTGAAACGGAAATGTTTGAACTATTTTTTTCTCAGGAATTAAAGCTGTATATAATTGAGGCTACAAAAAGTAATGGTTTATCTATTACCCTTCACGATTTGGAAACTTTTTTAGGAATAATAATTCTATCTATTTTCAATCAAAGATCATCTTATAAAGATTATTGGTCCAAAAATTTTTTGCTGCGGAACGAACAGGTACGCAACGCTATGTCGCGTGGAATGTTTCAAAAAATAAAATGGCGAATAAAGTTGTCCAAGCATTCAACAAACGATTCTCAAGACAAAGCATGGAGAGTACGTCCAGTGTTAGAAATTTTTAGAAAAAATATATCGCAGTTCGGTTTTTTTTCAACTGCGCTGGCTATAGATGAGATGATGGTAAAATTTTTTGGGAGAACAAGTTTAAAACAATTTATTAGAGGAAAGCCAGTAAGATTTGGGGTAAAGATGTGGGGAATCTGCTGTCCTTGGACACGACTTCCTTGGGAAGTCGTGTCGTTTTACAAATGGTTTTTAAGTTGCTTTCTTCCACTATTCCGATGAAATTACAAAAGTATCATTTATATTTTGATAATTTCTTTACTAATCCGGACCTGTTAGTCCACTTGAAAAAGCTTGGTCTACAAGCAACGGGAACAGTAAGAAATAATCGGGTAAATGTACAAAATTCGCTGAATAAAAACGCTGCAAGAGGCACTTATGTTGTACAACACGAAAGGAATAGTAGAATGAATTACATAACAGTTATGGATTC